GCAAAAATCAACCAATAACATGACTTTCAAAGAGACTTGAGTGTAGATGGGAATTTACATGAGGGGCATATAAAAAAGTCAGTGGTAAGAAGATTTCAACATGTAGTTGATCATTTTACTATTTGGAAAATTACAAGGATAGAGGTAGAGAGAAAGTTTAATCAAAATACATTCCAGATAGAATTTATTCAAATGAAAAAAAAGGAAGTAAAGGTACAAACAAAAGAACTCGAACAGCACGAGAAGAAAATAATCCTGAGATGGGGAAGCCATTTCCAATTACGATGCCCAAACCAGAAATCATACATGAAAAGAAACACTGACAGACTTAGCTACATAAATAATAAACATGGTTGAAAGTCAACAAACATCTGTCACAAATTTTCAAGAGTTAATATCCTTATTATTAAAATATTACAAAAATGCCAATAAATCAATAAGAGTTTTAAAAAACCCTTATAAAAATGGTCAAAAGAACTGAAAAGGCAATTTACAAAGAAGAAACAGAAATGGTCATAAAGAATGTGACATGAAGCTCAGGTCCATGAATGCAAATGAAAACAATCACAAGCCCTGCTGGTGTGGCTCAGTGGTTGAGCATCTACCTATAAACCAGAAGTCACAATTCAATTACCAGTCAAGGCACATGCCCGGGTTGCAGGCAATACCCAGTAGGGGGCATGCAGGAGGCAGCTGATCAATGATTCTCTCTTATCACTGATGTTTCTGTCTCTCCCTCCCTCTTCCTTCCTCTCTGAAATCAATAAAAATATATTTTAAAAAACAATCACAAGCCTTTTTTGCCATCACATTGGCAGGAAGACTGCTGATGGCCATGACTGAAAATGTGCGGGGAAGCATGCTTTCTTGACACTGGGGTGGGGAACAGTAGGCCTAACTTTCTGAAAGACAAAACGGCAAATCCAGTCCAAATGTAAAGGTGCAAGCCCTCTGACCCAGCACTGAGTATCGGGGCTCTACCAGGGGGCAAGGAGGGAGTCTACAAACTCGCCTGACAGGCGGAGCGTCACAGAGGCTGCGGGGGGGTCTGCCGCTGAACCTCCACCTCCTCCTTTCTGACAGAATCCCTCCCTTCAGCAGGGAGCCGGCAAAGAGACTACGTTTCCAAGCCCTTCTTGCCGTTAGACGTTAAAAAGAACTAATATAATTGGAAGTTTCTTGAGTAACATCCAGGAAACAGTCTTAAAAAGATGGAAGTTTGGGCGTTTTGACATCTTGTTCCCTTTCCTTCTCTTTTGCTGTAAGGAACTGTTAAAAGATCTAGCAGCCAACTTAAGCTACAGAGATACCCCTGAGAGAGCTGCCCCCACCTGCCCAGAGGGAAACATTCGATGGGCCTCAGCACCCTTTGACTGCTACCTCCACCTTCTGCCAAGCACGAGAGAAATCTGCTTCTACCTAATTTAAGCCACTATTTGGGGATCTCTTGTAACTCATAATGGAAGCTAACCATCGCTTCTTCACCACAAAATTGATCGCTGTGATAGGCAGAAACAACCTGAACGTCCACCTGTGAAGCTGGAAGACTGTGCTGACACCGAAAAGATGAGCCAGACCCATTGTGGGACAGGACAGCCACTCGCCTCCGGTGGCTGCTGCGGCTCCTCCAAAATGAGATGCGCTATTTAAGTGTAAAATACACACAGGAATTCGAACTCCGCATAAAAAATAATTTTTTACTATTGTCAGATGTTGAAATGGTAATATTTTTGATATGTTGAATAATATAAAATATATTATTAAAAATCATGTCACCTGTTTCTTTTTTACTTTTTTAAGTATGTGGTATAATGAAAAACACATTTGGTCTTTATTCCCAGTTCTTGGCAAGAGTTCCTAAAACCCTTGGAATGTCTTGACTGACAGAAGTGTCCTGTTCTTCATAATTGTACTTGAGTCTATGCTAATGCGGTGATGGGAGGGGGTGCTGTTTGCCAGAGAAACCAACCCTGTGATTAGAGGACTGGAACTTTCACCGCACCCTCCCCCATTCAGGAAGGGGAAAGGAGCTGGAGAGGGAATTCGGTCCCCAACGGCCAAGGCTTTAATCTCATGTCCACATAATGAAACCTCTATAAACCCCTAAAGGACGGGGCTGAGGGAGCTTCCAGGCTGGTGACCACGTCCAAGTGCTGGGGGCACACAGAGGGGGCATGGAAGTCCCAGGTCCTACTCCCTCCGCCTCCCACACCCCGGGCACCTCTTCCTGAGTCAGGTCCTTCATAAGGGCCTGATGAACACAAGTAAGGTGTTTTCCTGAGGTCTGTGAGTCCCTCTAGCAAATTCTCAAACCTGAGATGGGCTGTGGGAACCCCTGAGTTTATAGCTGTCACTCAAATACAGGAGGCTCCCAGGACTTGAGACTGGCATCTGAAATCGGGCAATTTGTGGGCCGACCCTTAACTTGTGGGGTCTGCTAAAGTCCTTAACTTGTGGGGTCTGCTAAAGTCCTTAACTTGTGGGGTCTGCTAAAGCCCTTAACTTGTGGGGTCTGCTAACTCCAGGAGTTAGTGTCAGAACTGAATTGAACTGTTGGACACCTGGTTGGTTTCAGACAATTAGTGTGGAAAACAACACATATTTGGTGTCAGAGAAAACCACATAGTTGGTTAGAAGTGGTATCAGGGGGGAAAAAGAGATCTCAGTGTGGTTACTAGAAAAATTTTAATTATATTTATAGTTTATATTAGGTTTCTATTAAACAGCACTGATCCCAACAGATTATCTATATGTATTGTCACAGAAAATGACCATGCTATTTCATGAAATATGGAAAACAATAGGTCACAAACATGAATGTAGAGTATGTTCATATCCTAGTTGGGATCATATATGCGTGGAAGTAAACACAAAGTTAACTGTGGTTTTGCTTTACAACAAATAATAAACACCTATTAATTTTTATGATCAGCACAAACCCCTACAGCATCTTTATTATGAGATGACATTGTAGGGCTCACCTGCATGAGAACACTCACAGGTCCCAGGACTGCTAACACACAGTATTTCTCCATGCTTTGTCCCTCAGAATTAAAGCAAATTCTATACCTCAAGTCATTTAGTAGTCAGTTGATCCAAGAATACAGCTTAACTTTTATGAAAAGTGAAAAGGTGTTGAAGGAGGAAAAGGAAAAAATAAGCAACAAATACTAACCTCCAGGTAGGTTCTGGGAACGAGACCTTTGTTTCCTTTGGCATTTTTAGCCATCCACCAACCATCAGGGTGTTTTTCAATTATAAGGAGAATTTCCCCTTTCTTAAAGAAAAACAAAGTAAAATTTTTAAATTAAATTTTGCTCTTAAAATAAGAATTACTAACATTAAAACTTCTTTATAATGAAGGATAAAAATCATATGGTCATATCAATAGATGCAGGAAAAGCATGTGACAAAATCCAGCTCCCATTTATGATAAAAACCCTCAGCAAAGTGGGAATAGAGGGAGCATATCTCAACATAAGATCAGACACAGCAAACTCACAGCCAACATCATACTCAATGGGAAAAACTAAAAGCATTTCCCTTAAGATCAGGAACAAGACAGGGATGTGCACTTTTACCACTCTTATTCAACATAGTACTGGAAGTCCTAGCCACAGCAATCAGACCAGAAGAAATAAAAGGCATCCAAATTGTAAAGGAAAAAGGAAAACTGGCATTATTTGCAGATGTCATGATATTGTATACAGGGAACCCTAAGATTCTATCATAAAACTACTAGAACTGATAAATTAATTCAGTAAAGTAGCAGGACACAAAATAAATATTCAGAAATCAGTTGTATTTTTATACACCAACTAGAGGCCCAGTGTACGAAAATCATGCACTGCGGGGGTCCCTGGCCTGTGCCCTCTTGCAGTCTGGGACCCCTTCCGGATGTCCGCCTGCTGGCTTAAGCCCGCTCCCTGCGGGAATCGGGCTTAAGCCAGCAGTCAGACATCCCTCTCACAGTCCGGGATCCCTCACTCCTTACCACCCGCCTGCTCGCTGCTCCTTACTGCTCGCTCGCTGCTCCTTCCTTAGTGCTGCCATGGAGGTGGGAGAGGCTCCTGCCACCACTGCTGCACTCGCCTGCGTGAGCCCAGCTTCTGGCTAAGCAGCGCTGTGGGAGTGCACTGACCACCAGGGGGCAGCTCCTGCACTGAGCATCTGCCCCCTGGTGGTCAGTGTGCATCATAGTGACCGGTCATTCCACCGTTCGGTCGATTTGCATATTACCCTTTTATTATATAGGACTAGAGACCCCGCTGGGCTTTTATATATATATAGATAAGATAATGAACTATAAGAAAGGGCAACTAAGAAAATAATCCCGTTTACAATTGCATCCAAAAAAAAATAACTAGAAATAGCCCTAGCTGGTTTGGCCCAGTGGGTAAAGCGTCGACCTGCAGACTGAAGGGCGCCAGGTTCGATTCCAATCAAGGGCACATGCCTGGGTTGTAGGCTTGATCCCCAGTGTGGGGCGTGCAGAAGGCAGCCAATTAATGATTCTCTCTCATCATTGCTGTTTCTATCTCTCTCTCTCCCTCTTCCTTCCTCTCTGAAATCAATAAAAATATGTAAAAAAATTAAAATAACTAGAAATAAACTTAACAAAGGAGGTAAAAGACCTGTACTCAGGAAATTATTAGAAACTGAAGAAGATACAATAAATGGAAGCATATATTGTGCTCATGGATAGGAAGAATTAATATTGTTAAAATGTCCATACTACCCAAAGCAATCTGTAGATTCAATGCAATCCCCATCAAAATACCAATGGTGTTTTCCACAGAACCAGAACAAATAATCCCAAAATTTATTTGGAACCACAAAAGACCCCAAATACCCACAGCAATCTCAAGGAGGGGGGCAGAAACAAAGTCAGAGATATCTGATATCAAACTATAATACAAGAAAGAACAAATTTTTTAAAAAAGAAAACACATTAAAAGAAACTATCCTAGGGAGCCTGAGAGACGCCCAAGGGGAGCAATCCCGGCGGGCCCCGCGCGCGGCTGCGTTTGAATGGCCCTGAGTGGGGCTCGGCCCGGGAGCCCGGGGACTCTCTAGGCTTCCGGGCGCAGTTGGTCAGCGCCAGGGCTCGACTGAGGCGCCGCGGTACGATGAGGCGCCGGTATTTAAGAGATTATGGCATCTGAAACCCACAATGTTAAAAAACGGAACTTTTATAATAATATTGAGGATCATTCCATTGATCGTCCTAGAAAAAGGATCTCTAATTTCACTAATAAGAACATGAAGGAGGTTAAGAAATCTCCAAAACATTTGGCTGCTTACATAAATGGAACAGTTGGACACGCTGTTAAAAGCCCAGATAAACTACGTAAGGTGATCTACCACAGAAAGAAAGTTCATTATCCTTTTCCAAATTCTTGTTTTAAAAAGAAACAGTCCCCTAGAAGTGGGGGCTGTGACATGGCAAATAAAGAAAATGAACTGGCTTGTGCAGGCCACCCGCCTGAAAAATTACACCATGATAGTCGAACATATTTGCTTAACTCCAGTGATTGTGGTTCTTCACAGACAGAAAGCGCATCATCAAAATACAGTGGTTTTTTTTCTGAGGTTTCTCAGGATCATGAAACAATGGCACAAGTTTTGTTCAGCAGGAATTTGAGATTGAATGTAGCTTTAACTTTCTGGAAAAAGAGAAGTATAAGTGAACTTGTAGCTTATTTGGTGAGGATAGAAGACCTTGGAGTGGTGGTAGATTGCCTTCCTGTGCTTACCAATAGTTTACAGGAAGAAAAACAATACATCTCACTCGGCTGCTGTGTAGACTTGTTGCCCCTTGTAAAGTCACTACTTAAAAGCAAATTTGAAGAATATATAATAGTTGGTTTAAACTGGCTTCAAGCAGTCATAAAAAGGTGGTGGTCAGAACTCTCGTCCAAAACAGAAATTATAAATGATGGAAATATTCAGATTTTAAAACAACAATTAAGCAGATTGTGGGAACAAGAAAACCATCTTACTTTGGTTCCAGGATATACTGCTAACATAGCTAAGGATGTAGATGCTTATTTATTACAGTTGCATTGAAAGACTTCATCTACTAAAGAGCATTTGGTTATTCAAAACATCCCTGGACTATATGATTTCCAAACAAGTCTCATTGGAGAACTGTGAACTATGAAAGAAATCAAAACCATTTTCTTCTAAAGCCACATATGAAACCAATAACAAAACCCTAGCAATCTACTTCACATTGAAGTGGAAAAATATCCGAAAGGAGCAGCTTCAACTTAATAAGGTGAAAGTGCACTATGAAGATTGTTCACCTTTGCTGCTTTTGGGATTTACATGATTACTTGGCAAGAACTACTGGATCTTAATGCAATCCTTCATAAGAATATACTTTATACTATGTGAAAAAATAAGACAAAACTTATTACTAGGAAAAGCAAAGACCAATCATTACTTTTTTTAAGATTGTGTTTTATAAGAAAACACTCAAATGTGTGCAGCTATTTTCTTATGTTGAAAGACTTTAAAAGTTTTAAACATCCTAGCAAATAATTAATACTAAAAGTTTTTTTGTCCACACTGAAATACTGTGTAAACAAAATGCCTTAATTATTAATAAGCCAATGTATATGATACCAAGATCTGTTTTTAAAAAAAGTAAAACCAACCATGCTTCTGGCATGAAAGTTATGGAATTAAATCAGGGGTTTCCATTCATGTGGAATATTGTTAAAACTTATTCCACACCATCTTTAAAACTTGAGAATATGTTTAATATCTCTGAAATCGTTTTGCCAGAATCGTCATGTCATGTATGTATGTGTTATTCTTATATAAAAGAAAGAGGTGAATATGTATTTGTATGTGTGCTTAGTTGGAAATGTTCATAGAGTTGGCTAATTTATATTCACTTTCTACTGTATATAGATTTCTAATATTTTCAGTTCTGTATCATTTAAGCTTCATTTGAGTAAATTTACTAAATATTTCCAAAAAAAAAAAAAGAAACTATCCTACAAGGCTATATTAATAAAAATAACATGGGCCTGGCCCTGACCAGTTTGGCTCAGGGGATAGAGCGTTGGCCTGCGGACTGAAAGGTCCTAGGCTCGATTCCGGTCAAGGGCATGTACCTGGGTTGCGGGCACATCCCCAGTAGGGGGTGTGCAGGAGGCAGCTGATCGATGTTTCTCTCTCATCAATGTTTCTAACTCTCTATCCCTGTCCCTTCCTCTCTGTAAAAAATCAATAAAATATATTTAAAAAAAAAATAACATGGGCCTGGCTGGCATGGCTCAGTGGTTGAGCATCAACCTAGGAACCAGGAGGTCACGGTTCAATTCCAGTCAGGGCACATGCCTGGGTTCCAGCTTGATCCCCAGTGTGGGGCATGCAGGAGGCAGTCAATCAATGATTCTCTCTCATCATTGATGCATCTATCTCTCTCGTCCTCTCCTTTCCTCTCTGAAATCAATAAGAATATATTTTTTAAATAATAATAATAAGTACAAGAGAATATTTTTTTTAAAAAGACTTAAATGTTAGACTCAAAACCATAAAAATTCTAGAAGAAAACATAGGCAGTAAAGTCTTGGACATTTCTCAGAGTGATATTTTTTCTGATATATTGCCTCAAGCAATGAAAAAATAAATAAATAAATAAACAAACAAACAAATGGGACTACATCAAATTAAAAAGGTTTTGTGCAGAAAAGAAAACCATGCACAAAATGAAAAGACAACCCACTGGCCCTAACCGGTTTGGCTCAGTGGATAGAGAGTCGGCCTGCAGACTGAAGGGTCCCAGGTTTGATTCCGGTCAAGGGCATGTACCTTGGTTGTGGGCACATCCCCAGTAGGGGGTGTGCAAGAGGCAGCTGATCGATGTTTCTCTCTCATCGATGTTTTTAACTCTCTATCCCTCTCCCTTCCTCTCTGTAAAAGATCAATAAAATACATTTTTTAAAAAAAAGACAACCCACTGAAGGAGAACATATTTGCCCATACATCTGATAAGGGATTAATATCCAAAATTTATAAAGAACTTATGAAAATCAATACCAAAAAACAATCAAATTAAGAAATGGGCAGGCCAAAACCGGTTTGGCTCAGTGGATAGAGCGTCGGCCTGCGGACTGAAAGGTCCCAGGTTCGATTCCGGTCAAGGGCATGTACCTTGGTGGCGGGCACATCCCCAGTGGGAGATGTGCAGGAGGCAGCTGATTGATGTTTCTCTCTCATCGATGTTTCTAACTCTCTATCTCTCTCCCTTCCTCTCTGCAAAAAATCAATAAAATATATTTATTAAAAAAAAAGAAATGGGCAGATGGAGAAACCAAGATGGCGGCATAGATAAACACCGGAAATTGCTGCCTCCCACAAAAAATTCAAAAATACAACTAAAAGACAAAATGGACATCATCCAGAACTACAGGAAGGCTGGCTGAGTGGAAATTCTACAACTAGAAGAGAAAAGCACACTGAGACTCAGAGAAGCTGCGGAGGTGGAGTGCAGAGGTACGGAGGCGCACGCGGCAAGGGCTAGCGACTGAGGATGCAGCTGTCTTTTTGAATCGGGAGGGAGTCACAAGCCCCCGACTGCTCTGAACTCCAGTTCCGGTTGAGTCTCTGGAGACCCAGACTCGTGAGGGGAGAGACTGGACGGTCTGGCAGCGGGCAGAACTCGGAACTCAAGGGCAGCTTTCCCTCAGAGGTGCTTGCAGCAATTACCGGGACACTGAGACTCGGGGCCCCTTAGGGCAGGGCTGAGGATCAGCCATAGCTGCTTGCTCTGCCCTGCTGATCCCCTGAGACCCCGCCCCACCCAGGCTGCGGCAGAGGCTTTTGCATATGAAAGGCCTGGCCTTTTACAATCTGAAAATTACCTAACAAACTGCAGCTGGGCCAGACAGACCCAGAACTTCCAAGAGAAGGCCCAAGGCCCCACAGCAGCTTGCATTGCTTCACAGCTGGGCCTCATTTGGGCACCTCCAAACCCCAAACAAGGAAGGGGAATCTGCAGATCTCTTCGTAGCTCCTGCTGGGTAGCCTCAGGCAGAGGCTAAATTAGCACCTCCTTAGATCCAAGAACCAGTGTACCATCCAGATTACAACTCCTCAGATCCATAAGGGACACACTCAGGGGGCAGACGCAGTGAGCACTAAAGCCCCACTGAAGCAAGTCTTGCCCCATAAGGGTGCCTTCAGCACAGAAATTCTCCCACTGTAGACACAGCTGATTCTCACAGCCAATTGGCCTGGAGGTCAATTCCTCCCAGTGATACCTACAACAATCAAGGCTTAACTACAACAAGACTGTGCACAAAGCTCACAAAGGGGTGCACCAAGAGTGTCCACCTCAGGTAATTGGGGAGGCTGAGCCACTGGGCCCTATAGGACACCTAGCACACAAAGCCACTCTACCAACACAGGGAAGCATAAAAAATGCGGAGACAAAGAAACAGGACACACATGACAGAAATGGAGAAAAGCAAACTACTGGATATAGAGTTCAAAACCACACTTTTAAGGTTTTTCAAGAACCTTCTAGAAACTGCCGATAAACTTAATGAGACCCTCAAGAAATCTAGTGAGACCCTCGAGGTTGTGATAAAGGACCAACTAGAAATTAAGCATACACTGACTGAAATAAAGGATATTATGCAGAGTTCCAACAGTAGACTAGAGGATCACAAGAATCAAGTCAAAGATTTGAAATACGAAGAAGCAAAAAACACCCAACCGGAAAAGCAAAATGAAAAAAGAATCCAAAAATATGAAGATAGTGTAAGGAGCCTCTGGGACAACTTCAAGCGCACCAACATCAGAATTATAGGGGTGCCAGAAGAAGAGAGAGAGCAAGATATTGAAAACCTATTTGAAGAAATAATGACAGAAAACTTCCCCTACCTGGTGAAAGAAATAGACTTACAAGTCCAGGAAGCGCAGAGAACCCCAAACAAAAGGAATCCAAAGAGGACCACACCAAGACACATCATAATTAAAATGCCAAGAGCAAAAGACAAAGAGAGAATCTTAAAAGCAGCAAGAGAAAGACAGTCAGTTACCTACAAGTGAGTACCCATACGACTGTCAGCTGATTTCTCAACAGAAACTTTGCAGGCCAGAAGAGAGTGGCAAGTAATATTCAAAGTGATGAATGCCAAGAACCTACAACCTAGATTACTTTACCCAGCAAAGCTATCATTCAGAATTGAAGATCAGATAAAGAGCTTCACAGATAAGGAAAAGCTAAAGGAGTTCATCACCACCAAATCACTATTATATGAAATGCTGAAAGGTATCCTTTAAGAAGAGGAAGAAGAAGAAAACGGTAAAGATACAAATTATGAACAACAAATACACATCTATCAACAAGTGAATCTAAAAATCAAGTGAATAAATAATCTGATGAACAGAATAAACTGGTGATTATAATAGAATCAGGGGCAGAGAAAGGGAGTGGACTGACTATTCTTGGGGGGGGAAAGGGTGTGGGAGATGCGGGAAGAGACTGGACAATAATCGTGTACCTATGGATGAGGACAGTGGGTGGGGAGTGAGGGCGGAGGGTCGGGTGGGAACTAGGTGGAGGGGAGCTATGGGAGGAAAAAAGAGGAACAACTGTAATAATCTGAACAATAAATATTTAATTTTTTTTAAAAAAAGAAATGGGCAAAGGACCTGAATAGACAATTCTCCAAAAAGGACACACATGGCCAATAGACATATGCAAAGATGCTCAATGTCACTAATCATCAAAGAGATGCAAATTAAAACCACAATGCAAATTAAAACCTCACACTTATCTGAATGGCTAACATCAATAAATCAACAAACAAGAGTTGGTGAGGATGTGGAGAAAAGGGAACCCTTGTGTACTGCTGGTGGGAATTCAGAATGGAAAACAGTATGGAGTTTCCTCAAAAAATAAAAATGGAACTACCTTTTGACCCAGCCATTCCCCTTCTGGGTATATAGCCAAAGAAACCCAGAGCACTAATTTAAAAGAATATATGAACACCTATTTCACTGTAGCATTATTTACAATAGCCAAAATATGGAAGCACCCCAAGTACCCATCAATAGATGAGTGGATAAAAAAGCTAGAGTACATATATACAATGGAATATTACTCAGCCATAAAAAAGAACAAAATCTTACCATTTGCAACAGCATGGATAGACATAGAGGGCATTGTACTAAGTAAAATAAATCAGTCAGAGAAAGAAAAACACTTTATAGATTCCACATAGTTCCACATATATACTTCCATACATATGGAATCTAAAGAACAAAATAAATAAACAAACAAAATTGAAACAGACTCATAGACACAGAACAGACTGATGGTTGCCAGAGGGGAGAGGATTCAGGGTGCTGGGTGAAAAGAGTGAAACAGGATTAAGAAGTACAAAGTAATCATTACAAAATAGTCATGGACGTAAAGCACAGCATAGGGAACATAGGCAATAATATTTTAATAACTATGTACGGTGCCAGGTAGGTACCTGAAATATCAGGTTGGCCACTTTGTAAAGGATACGATTGTCTGACCCTATGCTGTACATCTGAAACTAATATAAAAGAATACTGAATGTAAACTGCAATTGAAAAATTAACAAAAAGATAATAAATAAATAAAATAAAAAGTAGAAGAGTAACATTGCACTTTTACCATTTTACTACCATGTAACTTTGATAACAATTTCATATAGACTACTGCTTATTAAATCATAACTATTACTTATTTTATTTAAATGGATTGAGCATTCAAAAACTTAGTATCAGGAATATATAACACAGGTACCCAGGTAGAACCTCCTTATCCTGTTAGGTATGCAAATTGGTCCTG